TGCCTTTGCCTCTAATCGCCTTTCTCTTTGGTCCTTCTAAAATATCCTGAGATTGGAACTTGACACAAACAAAAGTAATCTTGCTTTGTTTGATTTTTTTTTGCCAAAAAAAGAATATAAAGTTAGGGTTGTGATAATCCAAATGAAAACAAGTTCATTCAGTTAGAATGAAAACTATGCAAGGGTGTATAATCAAAGAGCACAATAATTTTTGACATAAAAAAGAGCGCATTCTTTTTCTTTGAAGGGGGTTACGCCATCATCGAAATTATATCTCAATAACCAGCAATTTTGAACGTATATCCGCCATCGCTATCGCTATTTTATGCTCACACTTTCAGCACTACGCATTGATCCGCATTAATACAATGCAAACATGCATTCGCTATCCCCAAATGGCTAGGTTGTTGATTAAATTCCAAATCGTAAAGCTTTCTGTATTAGACGATGAGATGCTTCAAATTATATAGATTTTAATTGATTTTAACCGGTATCTTGTTATATAATCATTATAGATCATAGGACAAAGATGTCCATTGTGAATAACAAATCAAATATGTAAGATGTTTTGATACCATATATAATTTGAGAATTACTTAATTTAAAAGTTTAACTTGTAAAAAAAGTAAATGATTAATCAGGTAACTATATAATTACTTACTATAATGGTATATTGAACCTTAATTACTTGAATTTATGATAATGTGAGTAGCAACTTCATCTATTTTTAAAATATGGAATGTTTGCCATTGGAGCTTTTGGTATTTGAAGTATATTTTGGTTTCGATTCTACTATGGAGATACCAAACTCAAATGAAGAAAGATGCATGTTATAATGCTAAGTGTCAAATTTGCACGAGGCAGCCTTAATAGACTAAGAAAAACCAAAATAAAAAAGAAAATAGATTGCCAAGTGGTCATGCATGATGCTGTGTATTTGTTGATGCATGCTTTTTTGTATATGATTGCCACAAAGCAGATGAGCACTAAGATGTCAGATATGGTTTTCTTACTTATAAAATTCTCAACATCATTATCTTCGATAATTAGTTAGATATTACCAACTAATCAAAAGCACCTTTTGAACAAAATGAGTTCCTCATATGTACTTTGCCTTAAGCTAAGATTATGGAGAGAGAGAGAGAGAATTTGTGTCTACAGATCAGGAAAAGACATCCACCATAGAAATTAGGTCATGTAGAAGTGACTTCACTTTTTCTTTAATGCTTTGAGGTGGGAAGTTTTGGATTCTTTCTTTCCTTTTTTCTCTGATTAGCTAGTGGCATTCCCTTTCCTACCTCCCATTACTCATGGAATATTGTAAGTGGTCTTTTACTTATTATTGCTCATCAAACACAAGATAACTTTAAAAAATTGGTGAAATGAATCTCCTTTGAAGCAATTTGATAAATAAAGGCATTTTAATTTTGTTTGCAAAAGTACTTACTTCTCCATCAATTTGTTAATTGGCAAAAAATCTTCACCAAGTACACCCAAATTGTACCATGGCATTCTTGGCTAGATGATTTTGGAAGCCATGATATTCCCAAGTGGGCAATAACAAAATCATTATTAGGAGAAAAAGACAAGAAATAAATGACAATATTTATCAACACCAAAAAGGGGGAAAATTAAAGAAGATCACATATCAACCAACAGTCACCTTGTTAATTACAATTAACCAGCTTACATTATCACCTTTCCTTTCCAACTTGATTACTCACAAAATATCATGTAGTATATAGAACATAGATATATTCACCTTGGAATATAGTTAATTATTCCTTTTTATTTATTTATTTCAGAAATGAAAATTTAAGTTCAAATTTTAGATTAAAGATATATTCACGTGCTTATCATTAAGCTTAATGCTTATGAGCAATTGCAGTAATTCCTTGAACTGGCAACTTTTTAAAAATAACCAGCAAAATTATCTATATAGTATGCAAATTGAATAATTATAATTTTTGTTTATGTTTTCTTTTGAAAAAAGGGCAAATAATTAATAACAATAATAATATACTAAGAATTAAAGTTGTGCACGACAATTTGCTGTCACAAAGCAATCTCTTTTTTTTTTTTTTTCTTTGTGCTTGCTTTGCATGGCCAAAGCAAGGAAATCATTTGATGTAATAACTTTGTTCATTGATATCAGTGATTAGACTACATGATAGGATATTTCTCCACTAGTGAGACTTATTCTTTTTCGCCCTCTTCCTTTTTGAAAGCTCATCACCTCATAATTCAATTCTTCTTCCAGTACATTCTGCCTGGAATTGCTTTTTGGAAATGAGCTCCAGGCCGAAGGTGTTGGGTACCAATTATATTCATGCAAGAGTCTCACTTTTCGCCACACAATGAAACAATATTTTCATAGAAAATTCTCTTCAAAGAGCTTGGGATTCACTCTTTTCTTCTATCAGCCAACAAAAAGTCTGGCATATGTATATATAGACTTCAATCACAGTGCTTGATTAAAGCAATACAAAGAACTAACCATTCAATGAAAGTTATGTTCACAATGTATATGAATAAGCAAACAAAATAGTAACTGAACCTTTTTTTTTTTTTCTGTTTGATGGGAAAAGAAGTACAGATCGTATAAGTGGCTGCACAAATATTTCCACAAGGTACCAAGTATAAAGAAAAACTATGCTGCAATATGATATATTCACTGCAGGCATGGAGAAAGTAATCAATAATTATTTGTTTAGTTTTGATTCTGCAATATTGGGTTTTTTTTTTCTTTCAATATATTCTTTTTCATGTGTCCTGGATGTTTTCCATGGATACCATTCTATGCTAAATTTGGTGGCTTGAAAACAAGGAAAGATTTGAAGCCAGTGGAATTGCTTCTACGGCCAAAATTTTCATGTGGTGTGGCTTAAAAGTCGAAAAAGTGCAAATATAAAGTGGCGAAACCACTTGGATTCCTAAAGTGGGGGGATTCTTGAGTCTGATGTAACCATTAAACAAAAAAAAAAGAAAAATCAAAGTGAGACTATTCTCACCTGCGACTGGGAATTTTGCTGTTTAGAGGGCTATAACCAATGAAGATTTTAGCCCTAGTACTGAAATTTTGTCAATTGTCACCTTCTTATAGGGCAGCCCTTGGAGAACAATAATCAGGATTCGTCAAAGTGATCAAATGGCATACTCTCATTCTGTCCGTTGGCCAGATTGGAAAGGCGTCATTCCATTCAAATGTCATCTTTCACTTCTATCAATCTTTGGTTAGATTTCCTTCCCACAATCCAAAAGGCTACAAAAGATCATCAGCATTCGGCACCTGTTCATAGGTTTTTAAACTTTTATGTAGAAAGACCATGCTTCGATGAACGCATGGTGCACTAGACTTTGTTACAAAATTTTGGGACCATGTTACCATTAAGAAGATCGATCTATGAATAATTTGTCACTTTCTATTTTCATTTCTTTAACAAAAGTAGAGAGAAATAATTTTCTTTTATTTTATTACTCATACTTACCGTCATTTTTTTTTCACAAGAGTAGATGTTCATTTACATTACATATGCTATCAATTTTATATTTAAATTTGATAATTTGTATATTTATATATATTGTGTTTAACATATATAAAATATAAAAATTTTCTATCATAATTTATGTCATATACATCAAATAAAAAATATATTTTTATAAAACATATTTTCTATATATTTTGTCAATATATATATGATTTTTGTTAAAATTTTAAATTATATTACTTTTATTTTTTTCATATTATATTATCATATCATTTTTAAAATTACCATATTAGCTTTCTAAAATCATCTTGAAAAATTCTAAACAATACTCATAACATCATTTCACTCACGTATTGGGACACAAACCTAACACTTTAATTAAGGATATCAAATTAATTAGATTACACATTAACTAAATATGCATTTCTTTTTGTCACAAAACGTATCTCATATCTACACTTTCAAGGAAAAATGCACATTGTCAAAGATTGCATATGTTAAGTCAAGTTTTTTAATGTATCTTGTTAAGGAAAAATAATTAATATTTATTTTAACCTAAAAGTGTATTAATAAATTATTTCAATGTATATTTTAATATTATTTAATTTTTAAAACGTTACAATTTTTATTTAATAAAAACATTGACATTATTTTATATTAAAATAACAATTAGGATTTTAAATATTAAAAAATTATCAAAGTACTTTGGAATATTTAATGTTTAAAGAAATAATATTAAACATATGAAATATAAAATATAAATATAAAATAAAAACTTAAAAACAAAAACAAAAAAGTTTTTAGTTGAAGGGATAAAATGGTTAAAGGTCCAGCAAAGTGGATCACTGCACTCTTTCCCTCCAATCCAACATCATGGCTTCAGTGCCGCTTGAGCAATTGCACCGACAAGTCCTAAAATCGTACATTCAACTTATGACATGGCAAGATGTCTAACTACCTTAACGGTCAAATGTTCCTTTAATTTTTCCCTATCAAAATGGAAACAGCAACCTACTAATCAATCCCCTCAAAAATGAAAAGAAAAGACCTTAAAAAGAGAGTGATGAAATGAAACGAAACTTATTATTGTTTGGGTTTGATTTTTTTTTTTTGGGGGGAGTCTCTAATCTCTATATATAGATATCCCAACAAATTAGCAATGGAATCAGGTGTGGCTGTTAAGATGAGTAATCTTTTCTCTCACTCACACACACACACTCTAAAAATAGGATTCTCCTCAACAATTTTACATCTGCAAGATAGTTTCCAACGCCTTCTTCGATCTTTCTGGCAGTTCAGATTTTACTCTTTAGATGCCTTTCACTTCTCACCCACAAATTTTCTTTTTTTCTCCTTGTTTTCTTGACAATTTGGTACAAACCCTTTCTTTTTTTTTTTTGGTTTCATGTCATTGTTTTTCTTTCCTTGAATCTGTTTATAAATCCCTCTCAGTCCAATATTTTACTTTATTTAAGTGATAGTGTGTGATTAGTCAACTCAACTCTGATCTGAAATTTTATCAATTTTGATGGGTTGATGTTGATCTTGACCTAGGAGGTTGTTTTGCTGGGAAATTTTTGAGTACATTGTGATTTTATTGATTGATTGGTGAATGGGAGATAGATTTATGATGTCTCCAAATAGACTGAGTTCTCTATATAACCTCACTTTTGATGAGGTGCAAAGACAGTTGGGGAAGATAGGTAAGCCTTTGAATGCTATGAATTTGGATGAGTTGCTCAAAAGTGTGATAGCTGTTGAAGGAGGAGGATTGGTGCAAAACCCATCTTCTTCTTCATCATCTGCTTCTTTCTTTCTTGGGAATTTCAGTTTGAACGGAACATTAAGTAAGAAAACTGTTGATGAGGTTTGGAAGGAAATTGTTGATCATCAGGGCAATGTTAATCCATTGGATAACCAATTTGTTCAACAGCAGTTAACTCTTGGAGAAACAACGCTCGAGGATTTTCTAGTTCGTGCCGGTGTTATCAACAGTGGGAGTCAAGATTGTGTCCTTAATCCACAACAATTTATGGCAATCGATCCAATGTCTGTGGTTTCACAACAGGCTGATTGGCTGCAGTTCCAAATGGCTGCTGTTCAGCAGCAGCAGCAACAACAACAAATGACAATGATGGATTCAAATTTTAATGTTCCCGAGTCAGTCTATGAAAGCCAAGTTGTAGATGTTGGGTACCCGGAGAACCAGCTGGCTATGACAATGCCAATGCCTGCAATGTCAGCAACATCTTCAGATTCTCAGCCAACTACTGCGACGAAGGGCAGATATTCAGATGTAATGGAGAAGACCATCGAGAGAAGACAGAAGAGGATGATCAAGAACCGAGAGTCAGCAGCAAGGTCGAGGGCAAGGAAGCAGGTTGATATATATGAAATCTTTTTACGAACTTTTTGTTTCAATGATTGGAAAACTGAAAAATAAAGTTTTTTTGTAACTGTTTGTTTGGTAATCGTAGGCTTATACCAATCAATTGGAGCTTGAAGTAGATCAATTAAAGAAAATGAATAGCTGGCTAAAGAGGCAAAAGGTACCTTACTTGAACCTCTTCTTTTGTAGAGAAAGTATGTGTTTTAAGCGATATTTCTTTCAAAGTAAGTGTTTAAACATTCTAAATCTGTTAGCATTGTCTTCTTGATTCACCTAGTGATGGAAACAAATCTATTTTTTTGTTAACCTTTGATGAAATTAACAAAACTGAGAGATAATAAGGTATTGCTTGTTCTTGCAACATATTTATGTTATTAAAACAGAAACTGGTTTGAAAAACAAGAAAATCCAGTTTGATTATAAGCTTTCAGAACTGTTTTTAAAGAAAATGAGATCTTAAAATCTGGGCTTTTCAATTCATTTAAACAATTTTTTATGTTCTCATGAGTTTCAAAAGAATTCTTATCCCTAGAGCTTTGAGAACATGCAGCAAGTTTTCATGGCTTCAAGTGTCTACTCTTTCAACCGTTATCAAGATTAATGCAATGAAGGGAATTTAGCCCAATTCAGACCCCCAATATGGCACTAGCTCGTTAAACTAAAGTCTTGGATCTAAACACAAAGTCATGGATTCCCCTGCAACATTTGGCAAATTAGCAGTTTCTCATGCACCGAGAAAACAAGGAACTGAATAGCATGGAATTATATTTGTTGATGCAATAAACATCATAGGTAGCTGGAAAATTAAACTAGACTAATAATAGCTGCCTATCAGTTGATTGCTGATTAGATATAGATATCAGTCAACCAATTCATGAGAAATTAACGGCATCCTCCTCCTTTAGGTTGATCAGATGGCCATGAAACTTATGAGGATCAAAAACATAAGTTACTCAGTCGTACTACTCCTTGCCTCTTTGTTAGCAGTGGAGCACCCAGATTGTGTTCTGTTTTTGAGCTGTATATCTGATATATATATATATATATTAAAAAGCTGCAAAAGACATGCATGCTGGAAAATGTTATATTTGACTTTGTTTTGCAGTTAAAAAAAAAAAAAATCAATTTACAGGTTTTAGCTTCTATAAACGGTGGAAACATTAATAGTCACAATTAACAAATTTTTTAACAGGAAGTGGAGATGGTCTTGTCCTCAAATGCAAATCCTCTGCCGAAGTACCAGCTGCGGCGTACCAGTTCAGCTTCATTTTAGCATTTTTGTCCATGGCTTAGGCCATTTTTAGTCATCATAAGCTATTCTATTTATTCATTCTTTTAGATTGACTTGGAAATTTTTTTGGATTGCACTGTGAGCTTTCCTTTTTCTGTCAAAATAATTCCTTTTGTGTCTCAAAAGAATTTGTCTACAACAACTGTATTAGCATTGGAACAAAGGATAACCTAGGCCAAACATCTTCTCCATGAGGTTCATGACTCAAAATGGCACCACATTTTGAAACAGATTATACAGAATTTATTATGTTAGATTGGAGTTATTTTCATTAGTTTTATTGCCAAATGATGTTAAAGTTAGGATTTAATTGCTTAGATGTACCTCATACAACAGCATATTCTAGGTATGATTGGTTTCCTTTTTAACCAGGAAAAATGGAACCAAAAAATTGAGTGGGATTCATGTTTCAATTCTCATAAACACGATATTTTTTACATTATATTATTAAAATAAATTATATTAAATTAAAAGTTTTCAATTTATAAAAATATTGAGTATATCTCATTATTGAAAAATTAATATAATAACAATAAGATATTATCTCATACCTATATGATATAATCATTCATGAAATTTATGAAGTTAGGTTTCATTTTGTTCTTATTTTATTTTATTATTTTTTTTTTCTAAAAGAAAAAGATAAATAATGTATTTAGGTACAAGAATTAATAATATTGTTGAATAAGTAAAGGTTAAAGATTACTATGTAATTTGATAAACTGTAAAATTAACTACTGAAATTTTTAGTGCGAATTTTATAAGCATTGATTTGTATTATAAAAACTATTTGTAATGTTAAATTATGTACTGAACATAATTATATTATTGGATAAATATAAATGTTGATTTTTAAAAATAAATGGATTTGAATAAAACTTAAAAGGAATAATTTAGTTCAAATATAATTTTTAAATAAAATTGACTGAATTAGTTCTGCATTAAGTGATAAGTAATTCCTTGTTACATATAATTGTTGAAATTTTTTTCAATGCATTGTCAAACACACCCAATTTTTTGATAATATATTTGAATAATGTCACGTTTAAGGCTTTAATCGAAAATTTTTATTAGCGTAGGATCATATTTTATTGAATAAAAAATTTTAAATAAATATTTGTTATAAATATAAAACTTTTTAAAGATTTTTCAAAAAAAAAAAACATATCATTTACCTATCTATAAGTATAAAAATTTTACTTATTTAACCCTTCTCTCTCTAGATTTTTGTTAAATTTTAATGGAGTCAATATGAAAAAGGTACACAAAATTTATCATTCATACCTATATAAGCTTTTTTTTTTTTTTTCTTTTGGCCTTTTAATTTTTCTCAAGTTGAGTGGGGTCTCTTTATAAGTAACTACGCCACTGAATGGAACCCAAAATACACAGAAAAAGCAAATTATATGCAAGGAGTGGAGCAATCTCAGTCTTGGGGGATCGGAGCCCTTAGAGAGTGAGATTGTACCGTGAATACAGGAAAGAAATATTGTATGCTAGGTGTGGGTCCGACGGAGAACAATATCGTCAGCAATATTGTATCTTAGAATAAATGCCGATGACATTTTTATTTCATTTCTAACCCCCTTTTTATCGTCTATTCGGAAAAGAAAAGAGAAGAAAACTTTACTTTCTCTAATCGAATGAAATTTGACCACGTTAATTCTAACGATGCAAATGGCAACTCCGAGACGGGAACTGAAGGAAGGACTCAAGCCCAAGGAGGATAACAATGATTATGGAGTCAATGAAGGTGGCGATGAGGAAGAGAAAGAAATTGTAGAAGATGAAGAGCCTGAACATAGCGAAGATGAAGAGTGGGCTCTGCCACCCAAGAAGAGGAAGAAGTAATTATAGAATTTTGAGTTCTCTTTTTGTCGGTTCAACAATGAGAACTAACTTCTTTAACCAAACTTTTATGTAACTTAATTAGGAGGGAGAACAATTAATGACTTCAATTTAGTCCATTAGCATGTTTAACAACTTTGAAACCTTTATGATTTTGTGTTAATTAGAGAGTAGAAAGTAAGTTATGATGAATTTTTTAATTTCATCAGTTAAAAAACCATCGCTTATTTCACTTTTTTTTTAATTATTTTTTTAGTATGCCCTAAAATAATATGTATCACCTAACTCTACTCGTGGAATATAAAAATTCCACTATCAATGCATGCAATAATTTTTCTTATTTTATCGAATAATGTTTAATTAGTATAATTTTATGATAATTGGATAAATGAAAAGCAAAGCTATAACCTTTATAATAAATTAAAAGTTAAAAAATTTTGTTACTCAAATTTGTTTCTGCTATTTCCTTTTCCATTAAAAATAGGAAAAAGAAGGCCTCAATCTATATCTATAAATATAATTATATAAAAACACATCACTACCGAAATCATCTCTATTTACTTTTAACACAAGCCAAAGGCCACGCATTAAAGATATAGTACCTTGGCAATCCTCCATTCCAGCAGTTGTTTTAAGTATATCTTCTTCCGTAAACCTATCAGTTAAAACAAAAATGAAAATAATCTGTTTAAGAGAGAAAATTTAACAATAATCTACATTGGAGAGGACCAAACAAATTATACGTTTCTAACATCACATATGGTAGATACATGATTTCTTCCTATAGAAATGACATCCGCAACGGTAATGCTCAACACCATAGTTTTGTTTGGTTTAAATCTATAACTCAGGCGAAATAAGCATTGGCCTAAGGTATCATTACTCGAGACTTTACTAGATTAAATTACAATATGCCACTTACAAGCACCGGTCATCTCTTTGTGGCATCAATAAACATGGCTCGAGTCCAATGCTCAACATCCTCTGTTTGTGATGGTGGAGGGGGAAATGTCGGATGCTCCACAAGATCCCATTCATCAATAAGGCTTTCGTTCTTTCCAACATCAGACACCTCAGTGGCAAAAAGAAAACTAGCAGCTGAACTTGGAAGGTTACGATCATAAAAGTTTTTCTGCAAGAATCACAATAATTTACTCAAAATTCTGAAGCTTCCGAGTTTCAGATCAAAACCAATCTCATCATTGTGGTTATTACAGTTTCTCTAGAAGTGGAGATAACAATGGGAAAAGCATATAAAATCACTATCAAAGCCAGAATAAAAATCAAGAAATGATCAAACCATGCAAATGGCTTTCAATTGAATGGAAACAGCTTAGTAGTAGAATATATTTTAGTCATATTTTTCCAGGACTTCTACCTCCCAATGGTAACAGCAACAAAAGAAAGAAAAGTAGATAGAATAGAATGCATATAATGTAGGATCTTTATAAACAGCACACTTAGACTAGATAGAGGCTGATTTAGGACTTAAAGTTTAGGTTCAAACAATAACAATAGGATGAATAAATACAATTAGAAAATTGCGAAGAGGAAAACAAAAGGAATTTAGGTGAACTATGAAAACTGAAATCAAGGAAGTCGATAACTTCAGAAAACACACTTAAGATTAAAGAATCACTCCCTAGGAATGCATCATACATTCAACACTCAAACTTAATTAATTTCTCTCAACTCTACCAAACACACAAAAATCTCCCAAATACATAGGCAGCCTGTTTTAGTCATGATTAAATGACAGAAAGTAGATAATGGCTTAGGCAGCTTTGCTATAGACAAGATTAGAAGACAGCCAGCTTCTTCTTAATGTCCTAGTACGATGGATTATCATTTACATAATATATTATTTATGTTGTTGTCCTTGCCCCTCCTCCTATAGGCTTTACTAGGTTTCCATCTTGCATCAGTATATAGGAGTATGTATGTCAAAAAACCACACAACAAAATTCCATTATTAATCTTGTGAATCAGAAAAGTCAACAAGCTAAAATCTCAAAAGTTTCAGTTGAACAAGGTCAACAGCAATTTTTTACCGTCAAAGGAAGCATGTGTGCGCTCTCCAATAATGTGCTTGATGTCATGGTAGAATTCACATTCCATACAGATTTGTTAAGTTGTTGAGCTTGCTTGCCTGACCTGAAAATAAAAAAGATAAGCACAACAAACAGCTCTAAAATACAAAATAGATAGATGTGCACATGTATAAAGAAAGCAGCAAATAGAAAATAAACAACAATTGTTCTCATCCTCATCATGCCAACAATGATACAAGAGACTCAAAACAGGTCATGTCAAAGTCTTGTCCTTCACACTTGATCATCAAGAGGACAATTCCTACTTTGCAAGACCAAACAAATAACAATAAGTGAATTAAACTATAGGCTGTGAGTAGATTTGACAAATGAAAGAGCTAAAAACAAATAAAATGCAATTGTACGAAAGCTAGATGGGGAAAAAATAATTCATATCCTGCCCAAGAAATGTATTCCAGACCATTTATTATCATTATGTTGGTGATCTATTCACTTGAAGCAAGTTAGAACTGGGAATAAGGTGCATCTTAAAATCAAAGCACGGTAATTTGGTTTTAGCATGTATGATGACACCCAAACTCTTCCCACGTGAAATGTGACTGTGTTCTGATAGGAACAATTCAAATCGCTCATTCATGAATCCAACTCCTGATACTTCCAAGTTTAGTAATAAATTTCCCAATACTTACTTTGTGAAGAAAATTTTCAAACTTAAGGTTACCATCTGAAAGATAACTACAAATACTCTTCCTATGTAAGTACAACTAAACCACTTGTTTTCATACTTCAAAATTTTCCAAATAGTACATTTAAACACATAATTTAGCTCATAGATCAGAAATAGAAGGCAGGATGTACCTTGTACAAGCCATTTTCAAGGATAAAACAGATCGAACTTCCTTGGTTGAAGATAGTGTGGCCAATAGTTTAGAAAATGCTTCAAAGGTAGATGCTTCTGCAGGAACATCTACACAGAGTGAGTTATAGCAGTAAGCTGTTATGCATGCCACACTTTTCTTCAGAAGAGATATCCCTTTCTGCAAGTCCTTATGAGTTTCAACAGTGTGTGGAGAGGCAGAAGAATAATTAAAGCTATTACTTCCAGATGAATCCAGGCGGGACCTTCTCTCAGATTCCATTGAAGCAACACCAAAATTACTAGAGCATCTATCTGTCCATGAATTATCGCCACTAGTGGAGCAATAATTTTGTCGCGGTATAAAAAGTGGATATTCATTGCTGCAAAACACAAAGTATATTCAGTCCCACAAGAAAAACCTTAGTCAGCAATGTCAAATAACATTTCTGGTGAGATACCTTCTAGAAGAAGGGCGTGCATCCCAATAAGAATCTCGTTGCCATATCCTTGAGCAAGACCCCTGAGATGAAACTATAACATGATGAGTATGATAATAATGGAGGTAAAAGAGATCTCACATACACTCGATTTGTTTGTTTATCAATATAGAAACATACATCCTCCTATCTGAAACAGCAGAACTTCTAAAAAGGCAAATATTTCCAAAAGATTGTTGCTAGTAGACATTTCTCACCACCCGAAGCAAACAATGCAAAACGAACAAATTTAAAGAGAAAAAAAAGAGGAAAATATCACCAGCACAAAAGCGTCAAGAAGCAAAAAACATTTTACCATTTTAAAACCAAAATTCATTTGAAGGAAGAACAATCATCATAATGCTTTTAAGCATAAATAAGTCACAAACTTTGAACTCTTTGAAAGTCATTCAGAAAACCGAAATGCAAATTAATTTTTTATTGTATTCAACAAATTTTAAAGATGCAAGTAATCATAATAGAAATGAAGTGATATTTGAGTCACTTACAAACATAGACTACATTCAAACATTAAAAAGAAAAATCTAATAAATGCTTAAGAAAATGCCTAAGAAGGATGAGCTATTCTTTTACCAACACTTCACATTTTTAGACCCTTGAAGTTACACACAGGAAACCCGAATGACTGAAAAACTCAAAAAATTCAAACAAATCCAAAACCAGAATTTCAGGAAATTTTTTAGACATAGCATACAGGTGTAATCGGTTCTTCGTTCTTACCGCAAAACCCGAGTTATGAAGTGCAGGAGCAGCCAAGTTATGAACAACGAGATTTAGAAGTTGCACCATGTATCTGATTTCAAGTCATATGGATTACCAAAGTGTTAGAATTCAGAAACTGGAACATTCATACTAATAAATAACTTAGATAAAGAAGAACAATAAAATTGAGGAAAGGGGTGTCCCAATGTTATATTATCCAATGAGTGAAAATAGTTGTAGCAGGGATACAGCTGTCATATAGCCTTCTATGAAATAAGCAAAAATTACCCTAACGAGGCAGCAAGCTCCTCTGAGGGAACAGAGTGTGGGTCAAGCCCTCTTGGTAAGCGTGCATTGCAAATCAGATCATACTGACCACTAGATCCATCTCTTCTCTCCCCATCTAAATTTACCTGCAAAAATAGAACCAATTAGCTTACTTAAAAGAAACACGATTTAACCTAGGAGAGCTAGTGCCTAGAATATGAAAGGAGATGAGGCACATATTGGGCTAAAAATCCTCATCTTAACCACATTGCTGCGTCTTTAAGTGCTTGTAAAAGTAAAATACCATCCTAGATTTTTGGTAAAACCTCTGTAACTTGCATAATCAATGAAGATTGTCAACATACAGTGATAACTAAAAGAAGCATATCAAGCACACTTACTGGCCACTGATCACTATCAGTGATCAAAACAAATTTAACATAGAAGCACTTACTCGACGTTGGGGAAACAATTTGCATATCTGTTTTATGACCATGGACTGCTTATGAAGACGTTCCGAGGTAATTGCCATCTACAACTCAGAAAAATTCTTAATTCAAAACTTTTAGAAAAATAAAAGACATTCTATGAATTACAAAAACCAAAGAACCCAACATAATCGCAAGCCTAAATCCTCAAAAGTAACACAAACATCAAAAACAAGTAGTCCTCACATGAGCCAAGCTTTGAGCGCAAATATGGTTGGGATATATCTTCTGGAGCTGTTCCACACGATTCTTTTCCAACTGCAAAGAGAAAAAAACACAATGCATATAGTTATCATTCATACAACTTCCGGTTCTTGCAAAGAAACCGAAATGGAATAAGGTCAGTACCGTGCCACGAGCAGATTCAAGCACTGCATACTTAACCTTTAAGTCATGAGACACTCTCTCAATCTCAGCCTTCCCTGTAAATAAAGAATCATTTAGCATAAACCTAACAAATATAAACATGAATAAAAAAATTAGTAATAGTAACTAAGGAGCAACCATCAAAACCTTGAGCTAATTGTTCTTTACTACGACGAAGCTTCTCTTTCAAGTTAGCTAGCTTCTCATTTTGACGAATTTTCCAATTCAGTTGATCATCAGCTTTCCCCTAATAATAACACAAATCAAAATTACAAAAATCGAAAAAGGTATTAAAAAATTCCAATTAAGAGAAAGAAATCAAACCTTTGCAGCAAGCACTTCGGCTAATTTTGAATATAAAAGATCACGACGGGTTTTCAAGGATTTTAACCAAGAATTATACTCAATTAATCTGCAAAGAAAAGTTTCATCAAAAGAACAAAAAAATTAACAGCTTAAAAAGTAAATTCAATAAAGATTTTACCCACGATTTTATATATATACCTGTAATTTACGCAAACGGCGCAAATAGAAGCGCGATTTGAATTGTCACAAATAGCACAGTTGCTGGCTTTTTTGGACATCATGTAATTTAAAAAACCTTGGTATTCTTCATCAAAAGAATCGAAATTCAAAATCCCTAAAAATAAAATTAAAAGATAAACGAGAAATCGTGTTTAATTGACAGAAAGATATAATATCATGGATTGAAGAGGAAGGATTTCCCTTAATTATTTTTTTTTTCCGCTGTTTTGAAGGGAAAAGCGTAGCAGAGATTAAGCTGAGATGGGATGGACGGTGATTGATGAGTCTGCCACCATATACCTGTCATGATGGGGCAGAGTGCAGTTTTGATGCGACGACGTTTTATTCTCGCTTGTATATATGCTTTACCGTTGACGTATAGCTGCGTTATTCCAAATCCCAAGGATCTGTCTTGCGGACAAAATTATAATATGAAATGCTAAGATAATATTATAAACTAGTTTATTATCCGTATAATGAATCAGTTTTATTTATTTAAATATATATAATTAATTTTATTTAATCATTTATATATTTAAAATATATGTAAAATATATATAATATAATTAAAATATTAAATAATAATAAAATTAATCTTTAATTAAAAAATTTGACGAAAATCAAAACATATTATAAATAATATTTGAGGAAGAAAATATCCAAAAAAATATTATAAATGATGTTTTAAGTACACCAATAAATTATTAAAATAAAAATTAAAAGTTTTATCATTCAAATTATTATTTTTTTTAGTTTTCATATTTATGCGATCATTTTTATATACATACAAGTTTTTATAATTTTAAAGTAAAATTTATTTATTTAAAAGAAACAATAATTTTAAATATATTTAAATAATGTACATGATAATTTACTTGCAAGTACAATATTTTTTTTGTAAGAGTTTAAGTTATATTTTGATCTTTAGCATTTATAAAACTTGCCAATTTTTATGCCTTCCAATAATTTTGAGCTTCACATTTGAAATATAATTCTAAATATTCCTGTAAAAGCTGAAATAGTTTTAAATTTTGAATAAGTAATAGTATTAAATTTTAAATAATTATTTGAAAAAAATTATTATCAAAACTCAAAAAATTTCATTAAAATGTATTAAATTACTTGTTTTTTGTATTTTTTTGTGTAAATATTGACTTTCTTTTATATAAAACATGTGTAACTGCATAAAGTATTTCATCTGCATAAATAAATTTATTGAATTTATTTTTTATTTATTTTTAAATCATAATTAAAAAGATATTAGCTTAAATAGACTTTAATTAACTTTATTATGAATTGAGAAATAAAAAAAATAGTAAATTTGATTTGAAAGAAAAAATCTTACGTAATTAAATGAATAGTTAAAACTTAAGTAAAAAATGCTTATTAATAGAATCTATAAAATAAAAAAATAAATACTTTGTAACTTTATATTTTGTAATATATAAAAAAAAGAGTTACGTAAAAGTTTTACCATTAATTCTTGAAAAAAAAAAAGAATGAATGCTTCTATAACTCACACTTTATAATATATATATATATATATATATATATTTATATATATATATATAAAGAGGTGCACACAGAGGTAGAGAACAATGATAGAGAAATAAAATTCTCAAAATTTATTTTTAAAAGATGTATATTTAAAATATCATTAAATAAAATTTGATCTTTTGTATGATAAAGGATTATTATTAAATATATAAAGATAAAACTACATTTAAGATTTATTAAATTTAAAAAATATCTAAATGATTATAAAACGAATTTTAAAAGATAAACTATATATTTAAATTATTATAAAAATTCATTTAAAAATAATATATCTCTACATTTGAAAATTTTAATTTTAAAATATATATAACTAAATTATTATGAAATTCATTTAAAAAAATATTTGTATAATTTGGCGAAACCATTCAGAGCTATTATTGGCTTTGGTTTCCCAATTGGTAGATAAGGCAAACGGTTGGTTTAATTAAACTTTTGATGGGAACTTGCGATTCTTATTTACTTCTAGAGGATCAAAATTTGATAATGTGAATTTTGATCATGTTCGACTGCTAAATGTGTTTATTGCCAGCTTGAGATACAACGAATTGTAGCGGTTATTATTTATCTGATATTATTTCAAATCTCCTTCATGTATTTGATTTTTGAAATGTTATTTGGGTTTGAACTAGTACGAAGGATAATGATTTTTTAAAAAAATTTATTAATTTATTTTAAATCATATTTTAATAAATTTAAAATGTCACATTTCAAATAATTTATATAATTTTATCTTTTGGATAACTAATAATTTTTTAAATATATTTATTTGATAAATAGTATAAAATTAGAAATTGTTCTATGTGTTATCTTAAGGATAAGTTTTCAAAATTTTCTTATGAGTCAAATAGGAAGATAATCCACCTAGTATATGCATAAATAATTTTTATTATTTAAGCATGCATTATGTAATATAATATATATAAGTTTTTTAAAAAAATTTTATGTGTCAAATAGGAAGTTCATCCACCTAAATGTCCACATAAATAAATTTTATCATGTAAGCATGCATTCTCTAATACAATATATATATATATATATATATATATACTACATTATGACTCCTACAATACATGAAATAATGTTACTTATTTTATGTGCATATACATATAAATTAGTATTCTTTTTAAATTTCTTCAAGTTTTCAAATTTTATAATATATAAAAATTTTATATTTGACTAACTTAGCATAAAAATAAATTTAAAAAAAAAGGAAGAAAAAATGACATGTTTTCATTTTGCACCATTTTTATTTGTAATAATATTTATGCAATTAAAATTGATATTAAATAAAAATAAATTGCATATCTTTTATAAAAGAACAAATATATATTTTTTTCAAATGATAAATTAATAATAAAAAAAGTATAGGGACACTTTCACTTTTTTAATTTTGTTCAAATTATTATACAAAATATAAAAATATGTTAGGAGATCTGTGAAAAAAAATAAACTGAAAAAATATTAATTTTCATAAGAATAAATTTACAATAGTAATAGAAAATGCCTTGAAAAAAGAAGACTTAATAGCACATGTGGTCCTTAAACTATAGGTTAAATTCTATATTGGTTTTTAAACTTTAAAAAGTTCCAATTGAATTCTCAATTGTCCAAACGTGTGTTAATGTGATCCCTCTATTTGCTGGAATGTCTAATTTATGGTAAATCCTTTGTGACATGACACATAATCTGAACAAGTTGTATTACATGAAATTTTTTAAATGCCAACTAAGCAAATAAAAAATGCAAAAGAAATTTTAATGTCCACTTAAAATAAATTAACCATCTAAAAAAAAGAAACTTGTGAGATCTTGTCAATCTTTCATAAACTTGTGAGATCCTGTCCATGTTTCAAGTGTTGAAGAAAAAGGAAGGAGTTGATGGTTGAAAAAAAAAAGCTACGAGTTGTCATATTAAAGATATCGGCTTGTAAGAAACCTAGTTTCAGTCTTTGAAATGAGATGATTTGGTGACCATGAAGGACAACCCATTTTCTCAAACCCATTTTCAGTTCTTTGGAAATCTTAATCTAAATTCAACCATGAAGGAGTCAAAAAATACCATGGTTAAAGTAAGATAAAAGCTCATGGTTTCTTTAATAGGCCAAAACCAAAATCCTTGTTCAAGAACAACCTATTTTCTTAAACCCATTTTCAATCCCCTTAAAAACCTACTTTGCAAGCTTTCTTCCCTATGTCTTTCCTTTTTGGAACAACTTTCTTTTGAGCCTAAAAATCTACATTTGAGTATCAGCTTTCATGGGGTAAAGATGGAAGGCAAAGAATTGGTCCACATGGATTGATAAGATGGTTGCTTTACATGAATCGACTTGGAAAAAAGTTGATATATCTATAAAGCCATCATAAATTCAGCTTATTGGATCAAAATAAACAATGATTTGGTTCTTGGTTTAGCTAAAAAATGGTGTTGTGAGATCAAAAGTTTCATTTTTCTTAAGGTGAAGCCATTGTTACACTTGAAAATATCATGATCTTGGAAGGTTTCTCTGTTATGGGTTTAAGGTATAGAAACATTAAAGTTTCTTTTGCTTTTTTTATTTACTTGGTTGGCTTTTAAAAAATTCCATATAATACAATTTGTTTAGATTATGTGTCATGTCATATAGGATTTACTATCCATTTAAATAGTTTAGTAGACAGAGAGACCACATTGACACATGTTTGGATAATTGAAAACTCAATTAGAATTTTTTAAAGTTTAGAGACCAATACAGAATTTGGTCCATAGCTTAGGGACCATGCGTGCTATTAACTCAAAAAAGAAAAATGCTCAAAAAATAAATTACAATAACAATAGAATTCTAAAGGCTACAAACTGAAAAATAAAAAATGATATAACACATTACATTTATAGTTTTTAATTTGTAAAATAACTCATGGATGACATTTAGGATTGAATAGATAATTTTTAAATTGATATTTATAAAAATTAAAAAGATATAATAAGTGATAGAAATTAAATCAAATTTCTTATATATTTTTTAAATATAAAATTGATAATATGAGTTGATATGGATACAGGTCCTATCATTTAGAGATTTAATATGAAAAAATTATTTGAATTTTTTATATTTTAAGTAAACTTTTGAAAAAATAATTTTTGTTTGGTACAAATAAGATAAAAAGATATAGTGAAATTTTTAAAATTTTGTATAAATTTAATTTTTATAATTAAATAATTTATAAAATAAAGTTATCTGGTAAAAAATTAAAATTATTAAGATAAAATTTATATTTTTAATTTTTAATTTAAAAAATATCTCTAGATTAATATTTATTTGCAATTATAATTTAAATAATTTTGATATTTGAATAAATTTAAAATTATTTAATTCGTAATTAAAAGAAGTTATACTCTTTAAAAAAAAAAAAAACTATCCTACATGTCATCTAAAGAAATTGCCTACATAAACATCTATGTGACAAAAATTATCAGGTGTCTGTGTATGTTGTAATCTAATAATGTATGTGATAAGATTAAATTAAATAAATTTATTTTATTTTATATTTGATTTATGCAAAAGTTATGATATGATAATTTTATTTATTAGTCAAAATTATTCTTTCTAAAAGTTTATATAATTCAAATTATTGATGTAATTTTTAAGGTTATAATAAGACATATAAGTTTAATCTCATGAATTAAAAATAATCATTCATACTTTGGGATAATCGAATCATCCTATGACAAAAAGATAATTAATTATCATTTCAATTCTATTCTTTTTTTCATACACAAATCAAACATAATATAAGATGATTATAATTCTATTTTATTTATCATCTTATACACTAAATATGATTTAAGGATGTATTTGATATACAAGATTATAATAGGGTAAGATAAAGATAATATTATCAATAAGATTATATTAAATAATATCATCTTATCTTATGTTTGATATGTGCATAAATTAGAATAAGATAATTTATTTATTGGTTAAAATTATCTTTCTTCAAAGTTTATATAATTTAAATTATTGATGTAATTTTTAAAGGTATAATTGAATCATCTTATACCAAGAGGATGATTAATTTTTCTTATAATCCTATCCCTTTGTCTAGATACAAACCAAATATAATATAAGATGATTATCATCTTATTCTATTCATCATCTTATGCATAAGATAGAATAATATTATTTAATTTAATCATATTCATAATATCATCTTATCTTATCATTTCATAATCTTATGTACCAAACATATCTTAATGATATTAATCATATTCATAATATTATCTTATCTTATTCTATCATAATTTTGTGTACCAAACACATCTTAATAGTATTATATTATTTCCAAAAAAATATAGTGTCAGTAAATTTTTTTTTTTTTCACCCAAAATTATCTTATTGTTTAAAATTACATTGAGATTTTTAAGAATGATTATACAGTGGAATTTAGTAATTGAGATATGGATGAGACAAGTAAATAAATAAATAAATAAATAAAACTTAACCCAATAATTCACCCACCTTTAAAGGGATAATAGTTCACCCACCTCTCAAAAAACTATAATTCAATTCAAGCGATTAAAATTTTTCTTTTTTCCATTTCTTCCTTAGGTTTTATAATATATAAATTCGTAGATTTATTGTTAGACATAGACTTTAAAAGTTGCCACCAATCTTTTTTGTTTAAGTTTGATCAGCCACCTTAACAAAATCTATCCCATTTAAAAAGAAATCTCAAGATTGACTTAGGTTTCTTTAAATAGTATATTCAAATCTACGGAACTATATTTTAAGTTTGAGAGTGCAATTACATGTGAAGAAGGTTATAATATCCTTATAGCATTCATCTAAAAGATGGTACTAGTTTGATTTCAATTTATCCAAACTTTTAAAGATATTTAAAATTTATTAAATAATTTAATATTAAAAAATTTTCTTAAATTACTCTAATACATTGGTCATAATTTATGAATATTTTTTCACCTTTGGAGTATTCAAAGAAACTATTTGTCACGCTTTGAAGAGACTCCGTTGTTGGATTCATTTAATTTTGTATCTAGAAATAGATATCTATAAACTAGGTTTTTATTTAAAAATATCCTCAAATTTGTTGGTAAGATTTTATGTAAAATAAACAAAAAATTTTGCTTATTTATTATTTAAAACAAAACTTATTTTTGAAAATTATAAGGTTTTCCAATACATTGATAAAATCCTATTTAAAAAAAAAAAAAAACATTGGCCCCTTAATACGTTGGTAAGGTTTTTATTTAAAATTTAAATATTTCAATAGTTTTGTAGGGTTGAAAAATATTTTTTTTTGTTTTTTGAAAACTTTCTTGAAAAGAAAGAGAAAAAACTCAAATAAACTAAGTAAAAATTATAATGCAAAAATCATCATGCAATAACATCTAATATATCATACAAATATAATAAATTTATGTTGAGTAAAAACTAAAAATAAATTAATAAAAACATCTTACAAAAATAAAATTTTCATCACATCAATATAATCAATAAAATATAAATATAAATACAAATACAAATATAATATATATATAAAAAATAAAATAAAAATAAACAAAAAAGGAATACCCGTGCTATGGTTTAGATCTTTGTCGAGTTGACGCACAAGTCACATGTCGGCTAACGGGTCCTTACTCCAAACCACGCCATTTTGATTATGCTATATAAGTAAAAAATCCTTTATTTTTCCTCAAACTTGGCTTGGTCCTTTCTCTCTCTAGAAAAACGCTTTGACATCTTTCTAGAAGATTTAATCGAAATTTTTAACCTCTTCAGAAACTGGCCAAATATCTAGTCTTCGATGCCGTGAAATTCAAACAGTTGCCGAAAATTTCAAGTTTTCTGAAAACCCTTATGAACCCAGAAGATGGCTACCTTGGTCCCCCCTCAATCGCCATGAAAATCAACCAAAAAATGCAAACCCCCATCGAAAAATTCAAGTTTCAACCACAAAATTCATATCAACCTAGAAAAAAAACCCAGATAAACTTAGAAAATTAAAAGACCTTCCCAGAATCCCAAATTAAGAATAAACCCAAAAATTTCAACTAAATTTTAAAGAACAATAACCCAGGGAAAATTTTTTAAAAACAAATCCAAAGGAATACAAAAAAAAATTTGACTTAATCCCTAAACCCCAAAAGATTCAAATTTCCCATAACCAAACCCTAACCATGAATTCTAGAACCCAATTTTCCCCAAAAAAATTCCTAAAATTTCTTTATGAAATTTTCCTTATTCCTTTATGTCTTATTTGTCTAATTTCTCTCTTTCATACAAATTTATGTTTGATTTATATGCATTTTTATGAGATTTTAGGAATTCATTGATTAAAATCACACATGAATGTTGGGATTCTATTATGGTTTGATGGAGGTCAATGGTTGCATGATTTTAGTTATTCATTTTGGTCATATGAAATCCCATAATCTTACTGTCGGATTTGCTCAAAGAATTTCTAACAGATTTGATTTTTTTTTTATTTTTTTATTTTTATGATTATTAACAAAATAATAATAATAATAATAATAATAATAATAATAATGAAAGAAGGTTGGGCTTGAAATCTACATCCAATTAACAGTTGTTGGGCCTATAACCCAAACAACATAAATAAAATTGTAAAAAGCCCCAACATACATGCCTCCAAGGCCAATAATAAAATAAGGTTGGGCCTAAAGTCTACATCCAATTAACAGTTATTGGGCCTATAACCCAAACAACATAAATAAAATTGTAAAAAGCCCCGAACGCCTTCAAGGCTCAATGATCGAAAAATCTGAATAAAAAATTCAATCGCACCCTGGATGAAAATGGGTGTCTATAATTGCCTCTTTTTACGCATTTCTGTGAAATAAAAATTATGCAAAAATTAAAAACATCCATTTTATTCAAGTCCATAAAAACTGAAAACTTTTAACTTGAAATACAAAGGTTCACAATTTGGAAATTCAAGATTTTGTTATAAAATTGCTAAAATTCGCAAAACTTCATAACAAAAACTGAAAAAGTTCAAGACTTTAAGATTCACAAAAAATTTATAATGATTTCAAAATTTGCAAAGATTTAATATTCGTAAAGGTTTCTAAATTTGCAGAGATTCTCAAATTCATAAAAGACTCAAAATTCTCAAAGATTTCAAAGATTCAAGATTCGTAAGATTTTAAGTTTTACAAAGATTTCAGATTTATAAGATTTCAAGTTCACAAAGATTTTAGATTTCACAGAATGGAAAATTCATAAGAATTTAGATTCGCAAGAGTTTGTATCATGTAATGAATGAGATGATTACCAGTAATTCTTACAGAATCTGACTAACAAGTTTTAATAATATAATAAAAATTTTAGAGTTGCCACTAATATATGCTATCTTGCAGAAAAGCAAACCCCTGGACTTAAGAGTCGCCACTCAGATACAGATTCTCAAGCAAGTCAGGCTCAAAGATTATCATCTTTGGACCAAGAAGTATATGTGAAGCTCCATGTCACATGAAATTTTTCTCCACAATCTTTATCAACTCCTCTAGCTTTACAATTATCTTTGGATTCATCAAATCTCTAGCTTCCCTTAAGAGAGTGCCTTTCGGGCTTAAGTTATAAGCATCCACCAAAGTTCTCATCAAGGTATGGAGCTTCTCTGGAGTCCTAAAATTTCAACACAAAAAGTTAAATGAAGAAAACCAAAATTAGCCAAATAAGGAGAACCATCCAAAGTTAAAAGATAAAAGTAAACAGTGTGAGCTTCTGTCCTTGGTTTGTTTAGATAAATTATAGGAAATCCAAGCAACCCATCCTTTTCTTTTTCCTTTAATGGGATAAGTACCAACCCAAGCTATCATTTACACCTGAATCTTAGTGTATCATTTCACCATATACCCTTGGAAAGGGCAATTCAAGGATGCTCACTAGGTGAAAACTATAAAAAAAAATAAGGGCCTGAAACCCTGACTTAAAAGACTAAGCCAATTCATTGCAAAGCCTAATTCATAGATGTACTAGATTTTGACATAAATTAATGTAGAGCAACAGACATACACATACGTGTAGAGGTAGTCCAGATCCTTCCCTTCAAATTCTTCTCCTGGTGTAAATGCATCATTTAAGGCACATAATCGCTCCTCAGGATCCTCAATTGTAATAAGATGCTTCACAATCCTAATCTCTTTTGGCAAGAGTCTCTGTAGACTAGCTACCGTAGTCATATACAAGTGGTACATGATGTCTTTTACCTACAATCAATAAAATAAGTTGGTAAGATATTTCAAAACAGCACCTTAACACCTGCAAATTAATCATAACATGCATTTTCTGAAGCAATTAGCTGCTGGTCTTAAATAAGCTATCCTGTTCAGTATAGAAATACTAGAACTTCCACAATTCACCTAGAGCACAACACAGACAAAAAAACAAAAAAGGAATAGGAAGAGGGCAAAGGTTCATAATCAGGGAGCCAATATTGCTTTTCATAAGTTATTCATCAGCTGGCTTCTCATGAATGACTATATGGTTGCACCTCCTAGAATTAATTCTAATTTATTCCACTTTTTATTGAAATGGATAATCATGTTTCCCTTTCTTTGCATCTAAAATCTCTTCTCTATCTCCCAATTCTTCCAAACAAAATGATGCTGGAATTCAAATTTTTGGGCCATTTGGAGAATTTTCATCCTTCTAGTCAGATGAATCAGTCCATTAATTTATAAAATCATCATAAGGTTCTTCTCAGTGAAGTCCTCCTGAGTCAAAAAACAAGAACTACAACTAGATGACCCATCATATGATAACACAGAACAGCAGGGCTTTTTCTTTTTCCCCATCAAGTCAGCAACAGTCACCTCATCCTTCGTCATGCTACATTCCTTGGCAGCTGACCAAGCTTTAGTGATCATTAGCACCAATGCTGAATCAAGTTGATTTTTCTTAGCCAAACTGTCTATCTTCCGGCAAGCAACATCTAGAGAAGGAGAATTCATGATATCTTGGAGTTTCAACTCTGCTGCATTAATTGCTTCAGTGCTTTCAGCTGCAGTATCATAAGCTTGTACAGCAGCCAAGCATGTATCCCCAAGCTTTACCAGAGCTGACATATAGAAATAAAAAAATAAAGGAATATTTTCATAAATTTCTGCAAGGCATAAAATAATAATTAAGATCTCAGGCCAAGATGAATTTTTCTTCAAGCTTCAGTTTAGGAAAAGTACTGGCTTATTAAGGCCTTGCCCTCCAACAAATGGATTGACTAGGTACAAAAAAGCTAAGGTCAAGGTGGAATTTTGCTTTCAGGTTGAGTTTCTTTATCCTTATTCAGCTCAACGGTGCCAACCCATATGACACTGGAAACCTGAGACTCAACTTGTTTGTAGCCTTTTCAACAAGAAATTAGGAAGTGATAATCCTGGATTTATTAAGTCTGACTATTAAAACAGAGTGTGATTCTGTAGTTATCCAGTGGCCAAATTTAGCTAAGATAAGGCATGGACTTTCCTAGTATTACAATTTTGCATATTGATTATTGGATAGCTAAAAGAGTTTCAATTTCTAAATCTTCAACCTAACACGTTTGTTTATGTTGTCCGGAATATAATATATTCTGGCACACACTAAAAACCTATATTATAAATTATCAACATAGAATTGATTAAAAAAAAAATCACTCTCTCATTCTGCCTTACCATTTTGCTCAGTTGGATTGTTATAATATGATTCTGCTACAGTGTAAAAATGCACAAAGAATTCTTTTGTAAAATCTTTACGACGTCTAGCAACAATTTCACTAATCTCTGATGGTGCACCCTTGATTGCTTCAAGAAGTTCATTGTGTCTTTGCACATCTTCATCGATCTGTATAACAAAGTTTCCCACTGAATCACTATGACATCAGCATGAACTTAAGAACAGGAGCAGGATGCATCAGACATGCCTCTATTATTAAATATCGAAATGCATTTTATCTCCATAGGATATAACACTGCAATCCAAAGGATATAAAGAATTGGATTCCTAGGAATATTCACTGCACATGGATCTGCTCAGCATGAGAATATCATAAAAGGAGGGTATGTTTCTCTCCCTCTCTCTCTCTCTCTCAAAATCCAAAAGTAGGGAGGATGTCAAGCACTAATTTTCTCAAAGTAAACAAGTTTAAATACAAATAATCAATCCATAATTCTGAATAGATCATGTGCAGCCAAGCAAGTCTCCAGATTGAATATCTCATATAAAAATCCTGATAAAAGAAATCTGTAAAAAATTGTTACTGCTGTCAAAAAATCATATTATAAATCAGATAACCCACCTCTTTCAATTTCCTTCCAAGTCGGAGAAGCTTATGCTTCATTCCAGGATCACTTTCAACATCAGCTCGATTCTGAGAACGTTTAAAGAAATAAGGCCGGATGCTGCTCCATTCCTTACTGAAAGCGAATAATCTTCTCCAATCAGTCGGCGTGGGCTTGTCCACCATGAAAACCTCAATTAAATTGTCACAAACTCTGATCATTTTACAATCATCCAAGCCCTCAAGACTACCTTTTTCATCCACAATTTTCCTATCTTTATTGATCTCACCAATAATAGGTGAGGAATCAGAAGAATCCGGACCTGAAACCTGCTCATCACAATCATTTGGCACTGCAGTTTTATCAACAACAATGGCAGCAAGAGAAAATCGATGCAGCCTCACCCGATTAACACCCAATGAAGGACGACCTGCCATTTCATGACAGTTATCAGTTACTAACATCTTTGCAAGTACCAAAGAAGTTCCTAACAAAAAATGCTTTCCCAAATCATCATGCTAACCAAAGTTCCCAATTTTCTTTATTGAAACATTAATAACAATAGGGATTTTTTAAAAATAAACTTTTTTTTTAATAAAAGTCGAGGAAACTAAAACATTCCCGGAAAGCACCGAGGAATATAAAAGTGACCCAACAAAAAAAAATTGAGCAAATCATAAAATCTTTAGCAGTTGCTTACTACTACTGCTACTACTACTATTATTATTATTATACAAAACTCCTGGTGTAACCCAAGTCATTTACGGAGGACAACGCAGGAAAGGGAAATAAAACAGTAAAAAGAAACACTACAGTTAATAAACGGCGGTTGCAAATTATCAGAAAAGAAGAAAGAGCATCTTACTTGAGAACTTTGAAGATAAACAATGAAACCGAGATGAATTCCAATTTTTAGAGAAAAAAGCCAAAGCTGAAGACGACCCAGAACTAGTAACTTTTGAAGATTTTAATCTCACTGGAAAGAAACAACAAGCTTGACAACTTGCACAAACCAATTCCATGGAAAATGATTAAATTTTAATTTTATTAATTTAGAACAGGAGGAATCTAGCTAAGTTCTCGCAGGGAGGCAGGGTTCTCTTAAGGCTTTAGACCCAGCCAAAAAGGGGCTGATATTTTAACGAAGTCAAGGACGCAAAATGTAAATTGCAAGCTCTCGGCTTCGGTGGTTGAAACGACATCGTCGTTTGTGGCTTAGTGGCAAAAGGGTCTTTTTATAGTTTTTAGCCGAACGTTCTGGTTGGATTGAGGTACTAAATGCAATTCTAATTTTTCTCTCCATATTTTAATTTTTTAAATTTTTTTATAAATAAAATTACTTAATTACTCTTTTCATAATTTTTTAAAATTTTATAATTTTTAAAAAATAAAAATAAATTTCTAAAAAATTATAAATTTTTTTCAAAAATGAATTTTCAAAAAGTTATATTACTTTTTAAAAATTTATTTTAGAAAGGTAAGATAATGAAAATTTTTTTAAAATTATAAAAAGGAAATTTTTTTAATTTTTATTAATTAATAATGAAAAAATAATTATTAAAAAAATTATAACTTTTAAAATTAATAAAAAATTAATTTTATTATTTTAATATTTTATAAATTTAAAATTCATATTTTTTAATTAATATTTTTTATATCTATTATTAAAATTTTATAATAATTCTAATTAAATTAAGTTCTTCAAAAAAATCTCTTTATGTACTTATCACAATCAATTGATTCAGTTAACATATTAAATTTTAACAAAATTATATAATATTAAATAATATTATTTGTACAATTTCTAAAATTTTTAGATATTTATAAAGCTTTATAATTCTTTTGTCATTTCTTGTAATATTAATATATGAAATATTTAATTAGCATTTCATAAAATTTTATTATTTTTTTAAAATCAAAATAATAAATCAACTTATTTTTTATTAATTTTAAAATTTATGATTTTTTAAAAATAAGTTTTTTATTATATTAATTAATAAATTTTTTTTGTAATTTTTTTTAAATTTTCATTTTCTTACCTTCCATAAATTCATTTTTTGAAAATTTTATGATTTTTTAAAAAATTATTTTAAGAAAAGTTTACGATTATTTTTAAATTCATTTTTAAAAATTTTTGCAAAACAAATATATAATTAAATAATTTCACTTACAAATTTTTTTGAAAAAAAAATTGGGGTGTGAAGTGAAAAGACTTAGGCGGATTTAGTCCCTATTGACTTTTTAAGAGTTTTTTTTTAATCATTTCATATATATTTTTAAAAATAATTTTAAGTTAAATTATTTAACTATTTTCTTATTTTAATTTTAAAATTTTTTATTATGCGTTTTTATTAAGTTATATAATTTATTTAATTTTACGTTTATTAAAAAAATACATTTAAAGTTTTAAAAAATTAGTTAAGAAAAATATCTCGAAAATTTTTTTAAAAAATATGAATTGTTTCAAATAATTATAAGTTTATTTATAAATTAATATAAAAATTTATATATGTGAATTTTTAGATTTTTTTTTTATTTCAAAGTGTTGAAATAGAAACTTTTAAGCTTTTAAATATGTGAATTTGAAAATTTTTAAAAGTTTATTCACAAATTTTAAAAAAATTTTGAATTTGTAACTTTTGTATACAAATTAAAAAACTTAAAACAAAAGAAGAGAAAGATAATTAAATAATTTTATATAGAAGTAATTTAAAAAAGTTTGAGGAGGAAGAAAATAGTTGTTTTTAGAACCACTCCTTTCTGAAAGCCCAGGAAATGTGAAATGGGAGCTCGAAGGGAAGTTAATCGAAGCTCGAAAGGAGTTTGATAAAATGGCGTAGAGAAATGTTATTGGTTGGACGGCGATGATCCATGGGTACTCGAAGTTGGGTTTTGATGATGAAGTTTTGAGGTTGTTTGGGGATTGGATCTCAAGTGGGTTCGTGGGAATGGGAAGATGTTTGTTTGTGTGATGTATATGTACTAGGAAAGTGGATTTTGAGTTAGGGAGACAAATTCATGGGTGTATTCTGAAAGGGAATTGGAGGTATTTGATTGCAGATAGTGCCGTTCTTTATTTTTATGCGCAATGTGGGGAGTTGTCGACGGCTTTTCTTATGTTTCGTGGGATGGTAGAGAAGGATGTGGTTTGTTGGACAGCTATGATAACTGCTTGCTCCCAAAAAGGATATGGGAAGGAGGCTTTCTCAATGATTTTGAGAATGATAAGTGATGATTTTTGGCCTAATGAGTTCACAATTTGTAGTGTTTTGAAGGCTTGTAGAGAGGAAAAGGCATTGAAATCAGGGAGACAACAACATGGCGCTATAATGAAAAAGATGTTCAAGAATGATGTTGTTGTAGGGACTTCTCTTGTGGATGTTTATGCAAAATACGGGGAAATTTTGGATGCTAGAATTGTGTTTAATGGGATGAGGAGTAGAAATACTGTTACACGGACTTCCATTATTGCAGGGTATGCTAGGAAGGGGCTTGGCGAGGATGCCATTAGTCTTTTTCGAGTAATGAAGTAACGAAATGTAATTGCTAATAACTTTACCATCATAGGAATACTCAGGGCTCGTGGTTCAGTGAGGGATATACTTATGGGCGGGGAAATCCATGCACAAATAGTAAGAAAATATATCCAAACGAATATGTACAAAGGAAGCACTCTAGTATGGTTCTACTATAAATGTGAGGAGTACAACATTTGCCTCCAAGGTCCTCCAAGAGATGCCACTTAGGGATGTTGTCTCATGGACTCCCATGATTTCTGGCTGTGCAAACTTGGGGCATGAGGCTGAGACTCTTGATTTTTTTTAAGGACATGATGGATGAAGGTGTAGAACCCAACTCTTTTAGCTATTCTTCAGATTGGAAAGCTTGTGCTAAGCTTGAAGCTGTTTCAAAAGGGAAGTTAATTTACTCCTTTGCAAATAAAACTCCTGCCTTGTCTAATATGTTTGCGGGTAGTGCTTTAATAATGCGGTTTTGAATCAGAGGCTTTTTGATGCCAAAACGGAATTTGGTATCTTGGAAGGCTATGATCATGGGTTATGCAAGGAATGGACTATGTCGAGAAGCTTTGCAGCTCATGTATCGAATGGAAGCAGATGGTTTTGAAGTAGATGATTATATCCTCACTACAGTTCTTATTGCATGTGGAGATATTAAGTGGGATGCAGAGCCTTCCTCGAAAATATTAGTGGCGACCTAATTGGCCTGGTGAGCACTTGAGGTGTAAACTTGTTTATGAAGGCATGGAGTTGGACTTGTCAAAATTATTTCCATTAATGGAGGTTGTATATAGGATGGACAAGGGAAAAAAACAGTTCAAGAGAATGTTATACTGATATCCGATTAAGCCATGGCTTGCCCTCGTGTGTGAAGAAAGTTATGCCAGACGAAGAGCAGAAGACAAAGGGAAAATATTGGCACCAGTGCTGTTTCTTGCGAGCTATATAACTGTCACAAGTTTTTTATCATAGTAAGCGGTGACTATCACTCCAGCAACAGGAACATATATGTAGGCATGTCCTTTGTAAACTAAACACCATGTAACTCTACATTCATACAAACTTCAAAAAAATGAGGTTTTAGACAAATTTACAGAAATTTGTCCTCTGCTTACACATTTGTCTTTTTAATTTGTTTTTTTTTTCTTTTTTTTGGTATATAGGAGGTCAAAGGCTTAAGGGAAATCGGGGCAGGAGAATTAGCAAAAATATCTTTTATTTTATTTATTTATTTCATCTAAAAATTTATGGTTTATTTTAATAAAATTGAGTATTTTATTTTTTCATCTATTAAAAAACACAAAATATTATAAAATATTTTTTAATATTCTACAACACTTCTACATAAAATTTTTCCAAACATTATAGTCTTCATACAACGCTTTTAAAACAATTCTACTCCAATTAGATTGGTTAAAATAATAAAAAAAGCCCTTAGAATTTTATAATTTTATTTAGATAAACTTTTATATTTTTATTACATTTAAATAATCTTTAATATTTAATTTGCACCTAAATAAATTTTTAACCTTTAATTTATATCTAAATAAACTCTGAAATTTTTTAATTTGTATCTAAATAATCTCTTAAAATTAATCATTCTTTTATTTGAAATAAGATAAATATCATGAATAACCTCTAAACTATTGTAAAATATTTAGTGTGGTATCTAAATTTTAAAAATTTTTAATATAAATTTATAAAATTATTAACTAATATAATATTTTTATAATTATTTATTTTTCACGTATCATCATTTAAAGTTAATCACATTATAAATGAGTAGCACATTTGTTAAAATATTTATAATTCAAGTACTCATGAAAAATTTTTAAAATTTATGTATTATATTAAATATTTTACTACAATTAAAAAATCATTTATGACATTAATTATTTGAAATAAAAGTTTATTTGAATAAAAATTAACATAAAAAAATACTAATAAATATAATAATTAATATAATATATTTATGATTGTTTATTTGTCACGTGTTATCATTTGAAGTTAATCACATTAAAAATGAGTAGCACATTCATTAAAGTATTTATAATTAAAGTACTCATTAAAAATTTTTATAATTTATGTATTATATTAAATATTTTATTATAATTAAAAATTATTTATGACATTAATTATTTGAAATAAAAGTTTATTTGAATAAAAATTAAAACATAAAAATGTTTATAAATATAATAAAAATATAAAATTTTATTTAAAAAATAAAATAGTTTTAAGACTTTATTTTTAATATTTTAACGTACATTTCTTAAAAAAACTCATATCAATGCATTTGGACTCTGGAGATTTATTCATGGACCTGCCTTTGAATGTAATCATCACATGCAATGCCCGAGAAACAGAGAGCTACTTTCATGTAGCCATTGCACGCAATATATAATCATGTGTTTGAGAGACACTTGAAAAAGTTTGTTAACTTCATTCACCCGTTCACCGCTGTAATCCAATACATTTTACAACACAAAGAAGTGTTAATAATTAAGCAAAATATATTCATAAAATGTGTCATTTATCTTTGAAAACTTTCACAACATAAAAGCCAAAAGTTAAATACACGAAACCCAAAATCAAAAGTTGTGCTATAGTTTTAACAAGTTGTGTTCAATACTATTATACTTTATGCTAACAAGTTGTATCAAAACAATATAATCCATTAAGAAGTAATAGTGCATCTATAAGATAAATTTCTTACCTTTTCTAATCTCATTGTTAATGGTTGTCTACAAAAACCATAAAAATCAAAACAATAAAAAATATCTTCAATTAAAATTTGAGTTTAATTTAATTTAATTAATTTATACAATCATTCAATAACAACATTTTATGATCATTTCTTTTATTTTTAAATTATAATTTTTTTATAAAAAAGATCAATAATTCAAAATTATAACTTTAAAGTTTTATTGATGACTGTCTTAAGAATATTCTTTAAAATTATTATATTAAATAATATTTTCTTTTAATGAATTGATAATCAATATATTAACTATCAATTTCTATATTTGATGAAAAAATTAATTATAAATAAAATATTAACTAAACTTAAAAGTGTCTTAAAAGTATTCCTTTGTAAAATTCTATAATTTTATCTTTTGACTATACGATAATACTAAAGTACTAATAGCTAATTCATTTATACTTTTAAACTATGTTTAATATATAAGATTATAACAAGATAGAATAAAATAATATTATGATTAATATTAGATTAAGTAATATTATATTATCTTACGTTTGATGTATACAATTATTATAATAAAATAATTTATTTATTTATCAAAATTATTTTTTAAAAAATTTATATAATTTAAATTATTGATATAATTTTTAAGATATAATAAGATATTTAAATTTAATTTTATAGATTAAAAATAATATTTTTCACTTTAAAATGATTGAATCATCTTATGTCAAAAGAATGATTAATCTCTTTTATAATTTTATATATTTCTTAAAATATAAATTAAATATAATATAAAATAATTATCATTTTATTTTATCAATAATTTTATTGGTATATTGGTTAGCGGCGAGCCTTTACCTTGTAGAAATTAGGCAAAGATCTACCAATGGTACATTTCTTAAATGGGTTGATTTTTATGAAAATTTAAAAAGAAATTGGGTTGATCCATAATAATGGAAACAATGAAGGGGTTTTTTGCAAAACAAATCAAGAGTTGGGGTGTCCAAAGTACACAAAGAGGATATGGGGGTCCTAAAATCTAAAAACCAAAAAGTGATAGTAATAAAAAAACAAAAAAACCAGCCCACGGAGTTCCTGCTTCTCCGCTGGTGTCCACCACTGAAGTTCATCCCCTATCCTACGCTTTCATTTCAATTCAATCCCCCTTCAAAACAGAAAATCGTAACTCCATAACTTATTTATTAATTAATTTCCTCTTTTTTTAATTAATTTTTCTTTCCATTAATCCTTTCTCTTCAGACAAACACGACCTCGCTCTCTCCAAATCTGTAAGTTCTCGCTCTCTCCCTTTCTCATTTTCGATTTTCATTGTTTCCATTACGTTAACTCGCAAAACCCTGATTTCTTTTTATCAACTGATAATTTTCTAGGGTTTATTGACTTTTTTTTTCATTTTTTTTGGGAGAGCTAAGTAGTCTTATAATGAAATGAAAACGTGATCAAGTGTTAAGGATTTGAGGTTTAATCTTTTTGTCATTTGATTTTGAACTATCTGAAGTGGAAAGGAAAATACTTTGGTCTTTATTTTAATCCTTTTGTTTTGGCCACATGAGATGCATTTATCTGCTAGTTTCTTTTGCCTTTGACATTTATGTTTTTAGAATTATGGTATTATGCCTACATATTCCTGCTTTACTTACATCATGTAGGATTTAACATTAAGCCACTTGTTTAACTATGGTCGAGTTCTAAAGCTTTATGACTTGACTTCCTTGTTAGATTGTAGCTAATGCTTTGAGACAATATCTCATCATGAGTACTTTGTGAGTAAAAGATTTGGTTAAATAGGTCTGCTTATATTTATATTGCTGGTTTCAGAATGATACAAGAAGTCAATGTCTCTAGGAAAATCAATGAATAAGAACCTATATACCCAAATTCAGATGTTGATAATTTTTGTAAGATTGATATTGATAAACCATTCCATATTTATCATATTCTTTTTCCTGTTTGTTCTAACCGTTTGAATAGCCAAGAAGTGAAACCTGGAGAACTTGGTCTTTATCAAGCAGATTTGGTGTGGTTATCTACTTTCAAATATGACTCTGTGTAATGTACCCAAAAAAAAAAAGACTCTGTGTGTGAGATCTTATTATTCAAATTTTATCCATAATGGAATTGGTCTTGTGTTGAATTTGGCTAAGTTATGTACAAACGTCCTGCAGGAATCTGCAAAGAAAATTTTAAATTCTTGTGTGCAACAAGTACTAGAGCAATTAAAAGTTTAAGGGCCATGTTTTAGCAAGTTGGATGACAAAACTTATGTATTGCTGACATTATGGAAAAGGAAAATTCCGGTGACAAAAATATAACAGATTCTCCAGTTGGTGAAAAACTAGAGGGAAATACTGGTGGTACTCACAAAGATCAGGGGAAACCCATAGAGGAGATACAAAGTCTGAACATCATCAAAGATGAGATTAATAAGTTAGATGACGGTAATGGACAAAACGGGTGGGTGACAATAGGGACAATAGGGATCAGAATAGTTTTGGAATCTGGAGCTGTTGGGGACAATTTATACAATGATGAAAAACATGTTTTGTGGGAAAACACTTATTTACAGTTGGTTATAATTTTGTAATTTGTATATTTATAGTTGTATCTCTAGAATTAAGTATTTGTATCCCTAGAATTAAGGAAAAAAATAGGAAAGACAATCCTTCAATTATAGGATCAGTTTTTAGGAAGATTTAGTTTTCTAGTTTAACCCCTAATTGGTTGTATATAAACCTAAGGTGTTTGAATAATTCTTAATGAGCAGTTTTTTAATATACATTCACTTTTTACTCTTAGTTTTTTACACAGTTTTATTTCTTAGTTTTTTCACATGGTATCAGAGCTTTAGGCTCTTCTTGGGAAGTTAAATTTTCAGCTTTCATTGCTGACTTCTATTTTAGGCCTTAATTGCTGAACCTCGTTAAGGCCTTCATTGCCAAACCCTGTTAAGGCCTTCATAGTTATTTTATTTTTTCCTTCTTTAGCTTTCATTGCTAAGAGTCATTTCTGGTTATACCTTAAAATTTGTTTCAGTTCAAAAAAAGATACCACTACTACCCAATTTGAGGAAGTGTCAACTGAGAAAATCACCGAAGTACTACAGATGTCTCGGAAACAATGAGGGTTGGACAGAGAAGAAATTGAGAAGCTGAGAAGCCTATTGAAAAACCTATTGGGGTATGTTCTTTGGGTAATATCTCTAGTTCAGGTAAAGCTTCTAGTTCTTATGGATTAAATGTCTCGGTTAAGCTTATTGTGAGTTCTTGGGTCATTGACTCCAGAGCCATAAACCATATGATACATTCATCACAGAAGTTTAGTACATATACCCTTTAACCTAGTAATAAGAAAATTGTTATTGCAGATGGTTCACTTACTATGGTGGCAAGATTAGGAGATGTTGAAATTAATCTCTCGTTTGTTCTTAAAAATATTCTTCATGTTCTTAGATTGTTTACTAATATAATATCTATATAAAAACTTACCAGAGATATGAACTGCAAAGTGATTTTTTATCTCTCTTATTGTGAATTTCAGAACCAGAGTTCGAGGAAAATGATTGGACTTGCTAAGGAGAAGAATGGACTATACTATATTGAGACATCAAATAACACAAGTAATATCAAGAATAGTTTACCTTTGTCATTTCTTTCTGAAAAATCTCCCAATAAAGACAAAATCTGGTTTTATCATTTTCGTATTGGACATCCTTCTTTTGGAACTTTGAAAAACATGTTTCTTTCTTTGTTCAAAGGATTAAATGCCAAAAATTTTCATTGTAATGTTTGTAAACTTGCAAAGCATAGACGTTTGTCTTTTCCAGTTTACAATAAAAGAAGTTCTACTCTTTTTTACTTGATTTATAGTAACCTATGGGGTCCCTCTACAATTCCTAATATTTTAGGTGCAAGGTGATTTGTTTCTTTCATAAATGATTGTGCCAGGGTCTCTTGAATATTTTTACTTAAATCTAAATCAGATGTGAATAGTGTGTTTTTAAGCTTCCAAAACATGATCTAGAATCAATTTGGAGTGAAAATCAAGAGATTTAGATCTGATAATGCAAAAGACTATTTTAACCAGAGTTTATCTACTTATTTCTAAAAAGAGAGGATTATTCATGAGTCATCTTGTGTTAATACTTTATAGCAAAATAGAGTGGTAGAGAGGAAAAACAGTCATTTACTAGCCACAATCTGAGCTTTATTTTTTCAAGCAAACATACACAAATCCTATTGGAGGAAGCTGTTCTCACTGCCACACATATTATTAATAAGTTACCTTTAAGGGTTTTGGGATTGAAAACTACTATGGAACTACTCTCACAATTCTATCCCAACTTTAATACTACAAACAATCTCACATCTAGGATATTTGGTTGTACATCATATGTTCATGTTCATAGTCACAATAGAGGGAAGTTGGATCCTAAAGCAATTAAGTGCATTTTTGTGGGATAGTCATCAACTCAGAAAGGGTATAAGTGTTATTATCCTCTAACCAAAAAATTTTATGTATCTGCAGATGTCACTTTTAAAGAAAGCAAACTATTTTTTATTCAACCTTATCTTCAGAGGGAGACTTAATTCATAGAAGATAAGGATAAAGACTTTTTTTTGCTTGATTTGTCCTCTTTTTTAACATTTTCACCCATTAATTCTTTTGAGTAGAAACCTGTTTCTACTGAGCCTAAGTCAAACATTAAATTTGAGTCTAAACCCTTTCCAAACACAGAAGATGTGATAAAGGATGATATTGTTCTTGATTTTATGAAGGAATTACAGGTGTACTCAAGAAGGAAAGTTCCAGATCCCGAACCAATGCCAGTCTAAGAACTTGATCCTAACTCTGGAAATGAGGTAACTACAGTCTTTGACTCTATTTCTCAAAATGAGCATGAATCTCCTAAAACTATAACTAGTGATTGCGATATGCCTGTTGCCATTAGGAAAGGAACTAGAGAATGTACTAAGCCTCCACTATACCCAATCTCTAATTTTGTGTCATTTGAAAAATCTCTAATTATTCGAGGCATTATCCAATGAGCAATGGAGGCAAGCCATAAAAATAGAAATGGAGGCCTTGGAGAAAAATAAGACATGGAAACTGATAGAGTTGCCTAAAGGAAAAAATTCAATGGGGTGTAGATGGGTTTTCATTGTAAAATATAAGGCGGATGGTATTGTTGAAAGGTATAAAGCCAGGTTAGTGGTTAAGGGCTACACTCAAACTTGAGAAGTGGATTATCGGGAAACTTTTGCTCTAGTTGCTAAGATGAATACAGTTAGGATTTTGTTATCATTGGCTGCAAATTACAATTGACAGCTTCAACAATTTGATGTAAAGAATGTTTTTCTACATGGTGATTTGGAAGAAGAAGTATCCATGAAGGTTTCACCGGGATTTGGAGGTCATCTACAAGTAAACAAAGTATGCAAGCTGAAAAAAGCTTTATATGGCCTTAAACAATCTCCTAAGGCTTGGTTTGGGAGATTTGCCAAAGTGATGTTAGCAATGGGATATAAACAGAGTCAAGGAGATCACACATTGTTTATCAAGCACTTTGATTCAAGAAGAGTCATAGTGCTATTAGTGTATGTTGATATAATTGTAACTGGAGATGATGAAAAAGAGAGAGAATCTTTAAAACAGTGTTTGGCTAGAGAATTTGAGATAAAAGAGTTAGGGAGATTAAAGTACTTCCTGAGAATTGAAGTAGCTCACTCACGGTATGGTATTTTTATTTCACAATAAAAATATGTGATGGATCTTCTGAAGGAAATTGGGAAGCTCGCATGTAAATTTGCAAATACCCCTATAGATCCTAATCATAAAATTGGATAAACTAATGAAGATGTTGCTGTAGATAGAAAGATATGCCAAAGATTAGTTGGAAGACTCATTTATTTCTCACATACTAGACCTGATATAACATATGCTATGAGTTTGGTAAGTCAATTTATGTATAGTCCTAAAGAAGTACACTTACAGGTTGTCTACCATGTATTACACCATTTGAATGCCAATCTTGGGAGAGATATCTTATTCAAAAGAAATTCAAGACTAGTTCTAAAAGCATATACAGATGCTGGTTATGCAGGTTCAGTAACTGATAGAAGATCCACCTCAGGCTATTGCACTTTCTTAAGTGGTAATCTTGTGACTTGGAGGAGTGAAAAACAGAATGTGGTGGCAAGATCAAGTGCTGAAGTCGAGTTTAGAGCAATGGCTCAAAGAATTTGTGAACTACAATGGTTAAAGATTATCCTAGAAGACTTGAAGATCAAGTGGGATGGACTAATGAGATTCTACTATGATAACAAGTCTACAATAAGCATTGCACACAATCCTATGTAACATGACAAAACAAAACACATTGAAGTAGACCAACATTTCATAAAAGAGAAACTAGACAATGGGTTGATTTGCACACCGTATGTATCAACCAAGGGTCAACTTCCAGATGCGTCGACTAAAGGTTTCAGCATTGCAACATTTTAAGAAATTATTTTCAAGCTGGAATGGAAAACACCTATTTACCAGCTTGAAGGGGAGTGTGGGAAAACACTTATTTACAACTAGTTGTAATCTTGTAATCTATATATTTATAGTTGTATCTCTAGAATTAAGTATTTGTATCTATAGAATTAAGAACAAAAAATTAAGATAAATAATCCCTCAATTATAGGATCAGTTTTTTGGCAGATTTAGTTTTCTAGTTTAACCCCTAGTTAGTTGTATATAAACTTAAGGTGCTTGTATAATTCTTAATGAGCAGCTTTTCAATATACATTCAGTTTTTACTCTTAGTTTTTCACACAGTTTTATTTCTTAGTTTTTCCATATGTTTAACAAGGTGACAAAATGAGTAAGGATGGGGATTCAAATTCTAAATCTCAAGTAGAAATGAATGAGCCTACAAAAGAAGTTCTTGTGGAGAAGGAGCCAGAACCTGTCTTTGATAGCATAGAGGTTCCTGGGATGGAGGCTAACTGGCGTTCATCAACTCATTCCTTAGATACTGATCAGGAAGAGGGATCTGTGTGGCCTGAGAAAGCAGTGGCACTTAAGAATTTTGTCAAGGAGAAGGGTGCAGTTGCAGTGACCAATGTCCTGCGTTGCCTTTCTGTAAAAAGGATGAAGTTGAACAGGTCCCTGTTGATGTTGATAAGGACACTTCAGATTCTGCTAAACTTGGGGAACAAACTGCAATATCTCCAAAAACTGCAGAAAGATCTGCTTGAAATCCCCTAAACTACATTAAGATGTCAGTTGATGCTGATGCAGAAAGCAAAGTTGAGCAGGGAGAAAATATCATTGAAGATTCACTTAGAATATCATTGAAGATTCACTTATACCTATTGTCACTAAAGGAAAAATTATATTGTATTCAAGGTTAGGATGCCAAGATTCTAGAGAAGTTAGGTCGTTTCTTTACAGGAAAAGGCTTAGATATGTTGGGATCAACATTGATGTATATCACAGTAGAAAATTGGAGCTAGAGCAATTCTCTGGGTCTTGTGCTGTTCCTAAGGTTTTCTTTAATGACGTATTGATTGGAGGCTTGAGCGAACTCAAAGACTTAGATGAGTCTGGCAAGCTTGATGAAAGAATGATTTTTTGATTACTGAAGCACCATCGGTTGAAGCTCTTTTACCACCTCTCTCTGGTGAAGATGATGTGTCTAGTAATGGACCTGTTGATGAACTAGCTCTAATTGTCCAAACAATGAAAGCGGCTTTTGTTGTTAAGGATCAGTTTTACAAGATGCGCAGGTTCACTAATTGTTTTCTAGGTTCTGAAGCAGTGGATTTCCTATCAGAATATCAGTACTTTGAAAGGGAAGAGGTTAGTTGGGATTTTTATTATGTTTTCTGGGACCAGTATAGTGAATTTAAGGTGATAATTGTTTACTGCATGGTCTTTGCCCTCTATTACTATTATTGTTTTTCTCCATATGGAGTTAGGACCAAAGATTTCCTGAATCAGAACACTCTTTCAGTGGTTTCCTATGGTGAATGCAAAGTTAAACCAAGGAAATATTTCTTTGCAGCATGGTAAAATGTTGGTTCTTTTGAACTTGAAAAATGTATGAACTTCTCATTATAGTTGATGGCTTTTAATTTAATTCTTGCACGTCAAAAAGTACTCTTCAGTAGACCTTTTACTGATATTTATTGCAGTCTGATTAAAAGATGCAACAATTGACCTTTTCTTAAGTTCTGAAAGTTTCCTTGATGTTTTTTCTTTCCATCCTCCATTTCAACTTTCTAGCAATTAGATGAAAACCTAGATAAGGATAAGTACGCATATCGTGGATGCCAATTTTATCTCTATCATCATGTCTTGTGATACCATATGATTAACAGTTTTAAAAATAGTAATACATATTGCAATAATAACTCCTCTTTTTCCTTATCCTCTTGCTTTTCTGTTTTAAATGGGTGCTTTTGAGAGATTTTATTTATTGCATATGTTTTAGTTTTTGACCGATCAAATCAGATTACCACTGGTTTTGAGTTTAAAATTTAAAATTTTGTCTGCTTGCTCTGTTTGTACATGTTTGGATGTTGTTATATCACTA